CAAAATAAGAGTACATCCTTTAAAACGAGCCTGTAATTTTCTAGTCAGTGTAAATCCAATCCCTTGAGTGGCATAATAAGCGAATCCTGCATCTGCTGATCCTTTGCTTCCAATTTCTCATAAAACTTTCAACAATGCCGGGTAGCGACACACAAAAATTGCGCCGCAATAAATATAAATAAGGAGTGAAAACAAATTGGGGCTTTAAAGGCCACCACCCCTCTTATTCGGGCACAAACAGGATGCCAGTAAGAGCTGCCACTCCCGTTTTTTATGGCCAAAAATGCAAATCCCCGCCAATGACTTAGCCAGGAAAAAAGGCCACTCATGCAGGCCCTAAACTCACCTGGTGGGGTGGTGTAAATTTGGCACACCTTTCACACCGCGTCTAATAAAATATTTATTACCAGCAGGGCTACAAAAACAACTGAATAACCAAAAACCGAAAATGCCAACCGAAAAAGAAACGATGCAATAAAATACCAAGCCAAAAAAATGAGGATGGGATAGAAAAGGGGGTACACAACATCACGTACTGCTGAAATTGCTTGCTAATGCGGCAAAATGTCAAAGTTGCAACTGCAGCAGCCATGAAATCGGGGGCTAATTAAATTTATTTTTCCAAAAATAAGTCTCAAAATGCACCAACTGAAAGATGAACCGCGGGTCACGAGCATGAAATTGGCGATGTAATAAAAATCCAAGAAAATGAGTTATGTAAACTGCACAAATATGGAACGCTTGCTGTGGCAATCCGTCGGATTTCGTGTTATTTTTCCTTTTTTAACATTTGATTTGATTTATTTAAAGATGAAAAATAAGCAAACATAAAACATGATTTCGTCGGGTATTATTCAAATTAATCGGAACCCTCGAAAGCTGTCGATTTGGTTTGGAAATGTTAAGACAGGGCTTTGGTGTTCGTGGCATGTTGCAACCATTTTTACAGTGGTTATTGCAACAGATTAGTTGGGGATGGAGTTGGTGCTGTGCACATGCCACTTTTAACGAGGGAAAAGTACTTAACGTTAATCACTAAATTGGCCATTCAGGCGAATTTCATGAAATGTGTGGGAATATTTTGCGAAATTTAAAGAGATCTGAACCAATGTTTTTTGATCATTTGACGGAAATAACTTTAACAATTAATATACACGAATTTGAATGTTTTTGAATGATAAAAAATAAATAAAAATTTTGAATGCGTATTTGAAAATGGCGAATAAAAACTAAACATTATTCCAATATTCCAATTATAGTATTTCATTAATACTTCATTAATAAATCTTTTGTTTTTACCAATTGTCTTGCTATATAAATAAGCGCTATTAATCTAGATAAGCTAATTTATTCAAGTTCAGACTCGATTATACCATAGACACTAAAAAAACATTAATCATTAACATTGCATTAACATTAATTATAAATAAAAACCTATGTCACTATTATTAACCTATTATTTCTGTCACTTTAAAAAATAAATTCCCCCTTTTATCATAACTTTCGGCAAATAATTTGTTGTTTTACTTTCAAGTGAATTTTATTTATTTTGTCCGCAGCCTGCAAACAATTTAGCTGGCGCCATCTGTTGGCTTTTGGCTGAAGCACCCGTCGTGTTTGGTGCGTTCTCGCTTTATCATAAAAGTTTAAAACATCTCCTCGGTATACCTTTGCAAAAGGTATTGCGATTTTGCAATGCAATTTACCTTACAAATCTCTTTATTTGGATACGGATCTCACTATTTAGGAAGATAGCTTTCTAATACATAACAAAGATTAAATATACAAAACTAAATAAGTAATAAGTAAATGTTTTATCTTTATAACGCGGAAAATCTATTCGTATTCTGTTTTTTTTTAAATTTACACATGGGAATGTGAACTCTTTTTATTTTCTAGCAATAATCAAAATAAACTTTTATAACAGGAAAATTTAGGATATATCTGCAAGGGCATAGAAAATTCAGTTTGCTGTTCGGGTTTTCCGGGTTCGAAGTGGTTCTGTTGTCATCGCGTGTTCGCTAAACATTCTTGAAGTGTTTGCTGTTGTTGGGAGCTGGTAGTTGCCGATGTTGCTAGTTGCTGATGTTGCAGCTTGGCAGTTGTGTTGCTGTTGCTGTTGCACTTTGGGCTTATCTTATTGACGAGGCCACTGCGACGACAAGGAAGTCATTAGCAAAAGGTTAGCCAACGAACTAACCTCTTCCATGCTTCTTTCCCGGGGAAAATCGTATTTTAAATTAAAGTGGCGATATTGCTAAGCAATTCTTGCTGGGAAAAAATGTCTTTTATATTAAAAAACTTTTTCCTGGATCAAGGTCACGGAATTTGGAAGAAAACTGATTAAAACAAATCGGAAATTTCATTTTTCCGCTGAACTTTAACTTTAAATCCATTTTCGATGGGATCTCGCATACTTATATATTAGAAATATATATTCTAGCTCATGTCCGTTCAAAAGCAAAAGTTTTGTTGAACAAAAAAGGGGAAAAATGTAAATGCAAAATGCAGTATAGAAATCAAAAGGGAAAAGTCAGCGAAAACTTTTTGGAAAAAATAACAAGGGCAGTCGCACTCAGAACAAAGATTTTACTGCGAAAAGTATAGATTTTGAATAGATCGGCTTGAACTTAAGCTCGCATTTCATGCTGTATCTGAATTCCATTCGAACTTTAGTTTTAACATTATTAAACACATTTTACATTTTGTTAAATCCTCTTCTAGAAATTCTTGCCGCAGCCAGACAAAAACAAATATTTGAAACACTGCAGGAACTTCATAAAGGATCAAAATCCTTTTGGAGGAAACGAAAGTGGGCATACATAATATATTATCATTTGCTTTTCTTTCAGTGAACGGGTAGATGAAACGGCGGAAGGAAGCGAAATGAAATTTCTTCGAGAGTGAAGTGATATGCTTAAGCAGCAGCAACAAAGCCAAAAGTGAATGAAAGGCGGCGAAATAAATGAAAATGCAAAACGGGAAGAAGTTAAAAGTTTTGTAATAAGTGCAGCCGAGAAAACCCAAGGGGGAGGTGGGCGGTAGGGGTCCAGGGCGTAGGAGGTGCGTGGATGGCTGCCAGGGTCACATCAAGTGCGACAGCTGCAAAGCCGCAACGCAGTGGAGAAAACTTTCGTCCTGACAGCAACAGCGGCGCAAAGTAATGAAAAGACGTTGGTATAGTTGGTATTGTGGTTGCTTGCATTCTGATCCAGAACTGAACTTCATAATTCGTCTTTAGCTGAGGCACTTTGCGGCTCTAAGGGAACAAGAAACACTCGCCATTTAAATACAATGCATGAAATTCTGGTTTCTGCTCATCAACGACAGTGTGCAAGGTATTTAGGGGCTAGGTGAAAGGTGAAAAGGTTCATTTTGCAAGGAAATTTTATTTTTAGGCTAGCGTAGCTCAAATCCCCTACGCAAACTTACACCTTAATCAAGCGCCAATTGTTGCTGAGTCCCCTTTTAAATCCGCTCCCCCTTTTGCCACCCATGCACTGCAATTCCTACCCACAATAGTTAACAGCATTGTTACACTTTTAAACGGTATACTTACACCCAGTCCCAGTGATTCGACAGGGTATACTGCCATTTAGCAGATAGTATCTATCAGAGCTCAGAATACTTTTAGTAAACTCCTTAAGCCATTCCCATGCTTGAGCAAGAAAAAGGGAAGAGAAAGATGCCAGTCTTATTAGTTCTCATTATATTCTTCCAAGCTTAGCCGCCTGACTTTGAAAGTGATTTGCGGGGTAATTCGCAGTTCGCACCTTTGTTCCCACTGGCTCTATCGAATGTGCGGCAAAAGGTAAAAGCGAACTTGCGAAAACCCGAAACAAAAACCAAAATGTGAGCCCATACGATGTGGGGACTGCAGCACTACTGATATATGTACAAGTACCAGAACCACCAGCACCACCAGCACCACCAATGGACGCCTCCTGGTCGGGACCACTGCGGTTCATTAGCGGCTCCAAATGCGATTTGTTCGCCATGCAAAGGGGCGGTGGAGTGGGTGGTTTGGATGGATTGAGGGAGGTCAAGGGGGAGTTGATTCAAACTAGAACACATGAGCACGTAATTTAGTAGCCGCTTTAGCGCTTTTGTATGAAAATCACAACGGCAGCAGCAACAAAATCGCCGAAACTCCAGCAACAAACGGCAGAGATGGCATCCCCTTATTTCACCCAGCTTTAAAAGTTGAATTTTTTGGTAGCTGGTAGAAATGCTCAACAATTGACTCCCAAAACAAACATATTTAAAACAAGGTAGTCATAATTAACCAGTAATTTCAGAGGTATTTATTACACAAATTTGTAGATAGTCCGAAATAAATAAAAAGAAAAATTGGTATACCTATGTAAGTCTTAAACGAAGGTATTTTATGAAATGATGTAGAAATAAAACTACTGTAAGAAAACTATGATTTTTCTTACTGCCCGCTAAATAAAAGGAAATTGTTCTTAATAAACCTAAATGAGTCCAGATCGGCATCACTGACACAGAGTCCCCACTCGGAACGAACTCTGCACCCGCACCCCTCGTTGTTTATGGCCATGTGCCACATTGGGATCACATTCGGGCCACTTTTGTGTGTGGGTCCGGTTTTTGCCGTTAATTCCTTTTTATAAATAGGAAGCGATACAATACACCTCCGCCTTCCAGTTATCCCGACCAAGAAAAAAACTAATTTTATTTGTTAGCTGGGAGGTTAGACCAGGGCCAAAACTAATCAGCTTTTTCTTGGCCAACATGCAAAGCCTGAACTTGGATTATGTCCGTCCCATTTGTGTCTTCTGTTTGGAATCTGTCTGACCGTTTTCTTCAGTTAAATAAAGTAGAGAAATCAGTTAAGATGGAACTATTTTGTTAATAGTACGACTATGGTTAAGAGATGGACTATTTAGTTTAATTATATAAGTATTATAAACTTGGCTAATCATAAATAAGTGATCAAATCTCATTGTGGTATGATGCTCTTTTGTAAAAATGGTATATTAAGCTTCACGAATCGCTGACGTCCAACTTTTTCTTTAATACTGACAAGATAACTACTTCAGTGATAGGAAATTCGTATTAAATCAACCGAGTCAGATAACTGCAATCAATGGCTGATTGGCAAAATAAAAACAAAAATAAAACCACCTTATCTTTGCTCTCTTAAAAATTGATTACAATTCGCATAAAGGCTTAAGAATACAATAACACACAACCAGTTAGATTTGAATCATTTCCGATTTAATCGGGCAGCTGATGGCCTCCACAGTTAATTAGTGGAGCCTGGCCAAAAGGGCAGCCAGAGGCATCTTGGGATCGAACTTGGCATCGCCGGCCACTGAGATATCGGGCAGCTGGTTTGCAGCTATAAGAAAAATTTGTATAATATAGTAATACAAACTTAAAATCGAACTTAATGTTACGAATGCTTTAACAATATCCTATACTCCAAAATATGTCCCAATAATCAATGCTAGGAGCAGCGTATTGACATCATTTCACAGCAAGTAATTGCTAATAACATATTATTTACAAAAATGTAATTCTTAAGGTAAGTAATTTTCTTTTAATATTAACTTCAACGGCTTTTTGGAGGTTTTACTTATTTAAAATGTGTAATACTTCTAGATGATTTCAGCACTTTTTTAAAACATGACTACTTACCCTTATCCTCAGCATCGGAAGCCACGGACATGTCGGGAACCAGATCAGCATTAGCTAGGACATGGGGCTCTACGGGGTCGGCTCCGGAAACCTTGGTCAACTGGGGCAGGGTCTTGAGTCCGGCAACAGCCTGCTTGGGGGTCACGTCGGCGTCGGAGGCAACGGACATGTCGGGAATCAAATCGGCATCGGCATTGGTTATGATCTCCACTGGCTCGCCTCCGGAGACCTTGGTCAACTGAGGCAGGGTCTTGATGCCAGCAGCCACCTTCCTGGGTGTATCATCAACATCGGAGGCCACGGACATGTCGGGAATCAAATCGGCATCGGCATGGGTCATGATCTCCACTGGCTCGCCTCCGGAGACCTTGGTTAACAAAGGCAGGGTCTTGAGGCCAGCAGCCACCTTCCTGGGAGTATCATCAGCGTCGGAGGCCACGGACATGTCGGGAACTAGATCGGCATCGGCATGGGTCATGATCTCCACTGGCTCGCCTCCGGAAACCTTGGCCATTTTCGGGAGAGTTTTGATACCGGAAACAGCCTGCTTGGGCGAGTCATCGCCATCGGAGGCAACGGACATGTCGGGTATCATGCTGGCAATGGCACCAGCGATCCTGTCCAGCTGGTGCTGCTTCAGACCAAGGGAGGCGATCGGGGCGATCTTGAACTCGGTGGAACGCCTCCTGGGGGTTTCATCGGCGTCAGTAGCCACCGACATATCTGGTACGGCAACAGAGTCGGCCAGGACGGACATATCCGGAATCATATTCTGGAATAGGGCCTGCATCTTCTGGACGATGGCTAAGCGGATACAATAACAATAATATACATAGGTATAGGTATAAAATACTGTATACTTTTTAACAAGATATAGTGCTATACTTCAGTTTCTCGCCTATCAGATACCCGTTACACAGGGTGGTTTGAGGCCGAAATTCTGACGTTCAAACATAATCTGATCAAGAATAAATATAAGAACTTTATTCTACCATGTAGTTGTCGATTCTAGCCATTTACTTTAGGAATAAAAAGCTTTAGAATTGAGTTGATTACCTTGTCTAGACTTCTGGCGATTAGTTTTGATAGGAATTGGAATAATACAATGCCAAAACTGCACTTGATGGTATTAGTACAAACAACTGGCATGTATTTCACTAATAATTACTTATTTATTCACCATTATAACAATAAGATAATTATTTTTGTTCAAGAACAAACTCCGTAAAATAAGCGTATTTCTCAATATTACTCATACTCTCTTACCTTCCATCTGGGGCAGATTGTGGGTAGACTGGATCTCGTAGGCCACAAAGTGTCTGGTGGGTGGGCGTGGCAGGATTCCACCGCTGACCAGCGGCAGGATGAGGAGTGCGCAAACAGCAAAGTATTTCATGGTGATATCTCATGAATGAACTACGCGGCCAGTTGAAGAGAGGTTATATAGCGACCTTATCTGGCCACTGGTTTCTTATTTATGGCCCGATCGAGGTAGACCTCTCCAGATAAGATTCCAAGCCGAAAAGTGCTAAAAGAGCAGCAAAATCGGTGGTACCTTGTAAATCTTTACCGGTGGTTCACCCGAATCGGAAAGTATTGATTTCAATAACGTGATCATGCAGCAGAGTTGTCGTCGCCCCTTTGAAAATATGCAATTATCTATTTCGCGACATAAAAATTGTAGTTTTTATATTTTAACAGTCAAATATTTGGAGTTGAAAAACAAGGTATTTTGTTTAGGATTTTCTAAGATGCGTCAGCCTTTCCATATCTAATCTTCTGTCATTGATGACGTGTTACTCCGTAGTTAAGTCCACGTATTTAAACTGATAGTAGAAATAGGCGTGCTTTTAAACTGTAATTTCGACTGACTCACTTAAATTTGCTGATAAAAACCATTTTAGGCTATCATTGATTATTAAGGTGCATCAAAAAGATCTTTGACGAATAAATATAAAAGCAATATATCCTACGGGCTAGCTTTGAACAGCAATGGAAAGTGAAACAAATGCTGGTAAAATAAATGCAATAAATTGGAGAAATAAAAACCCCTTTTATTGGGGACTCCAGGGAATTATACCGGGCTAAAAACAGCAAAAAATAATACTAGCTATCCTACATTTCAGCCTACTATTCTGCAATAGGGATTGAAATAGAATTTTAAATTAAATTTTAAATCGCATAATAAATGTTGTCATTTAGGTATTAAAAATGTCTTTCCCTAAAAACAGGTGACAATCTATTTCCCAAAAGAACTAAACTTATTTTCATTTATTTTGAAAATGCAATATTTATTTGATATATGTGAAATAAAATTAGGATTCGATTTCTATTAAACTTAGTTATACATTTTTTCCAAATTTTTTAACAAAACGGTCTCTTTTCTTTCCGTTTTAAAAATAATGAACAAAATGGGCAAAAGTAAGTTTAACTTTTAGCAAAAAAAAATGCAGAAAAAATAAATGGTTTTCTTAAAATTATAGACAACTTGAAGAATGTTTTATGCAACATTATAAGTGCATTAGTTCTTTTAACAATTTTTCAACGTGTTTTTTATGATTTATTTATTCTGTCTTTTATCTTTAAGATTCGTAAAATATTTTCTCAATCCTCTGGATTTGCTTTGGCCTCTTCTTAAATGCCGAGTATGTCATCGTGATCGTCCGCGGGATCCACTGGCTCTCGCTTTAGGCTGGCCAGCGAAAAATCATCCGCAGCAATAGTGGCTGCTGTCTCCGAGGATTCCTTTTTCTTCCACTGCGACGGCTGACTGGGCTGCTGAAGGAGGTCTTGAAAGGAGGTTTTGGTATTGGCCACCACCAAGCTGCGCTTCAGCGCCGAGGATGGCGAGCTTCCATCGCCGTTCACAGAGGGCTTGGGCTGGGCAAAGTCATTGAAAGCAGATCCCTGCACACTGGCAATCTGGGGAGTTTTCTGAAGCCCGGAGGCTCCGCCTGTGGGTGAGATTTGCTTTTGGTAAGCAGTAACGCAGCCCACGGACTTCCTCACTAGTAAGCTGCTGCCCTGCGATGCGGCGGCCGTTTGACTAGCAGCTACGGCAGAATACCGAGGGCGCTGGGCAGGAGCCGCCATTCCATGGCCTGGTGCTATCAATCGTCGCTTAAGCATAGACGCGTCCGTACCGCTAAGGTTGGAGAGTATAGGACCGCCATTGGCGGAACTTTGGCTAGCGCTTTGGGCATTGGGTGGATTGCTGCTACCGCACACAGAGTACCTCCTGGACATGGCGCGGACCTTGGGCGGCGCAACTCCCTTGGCAGTCGGCAGTACATTGCCTTGGCCAAAGAAACTGTTGATCATGGAACCCTGCGGCCTCACAGCAGCCACCACAGCAGCTCCCTTGGGACTGCCTAGTGGGGCGTTGCTGGCCACCTTCACCAAACTATGGTTGCTGTCCACGCTCTCCTTGCGCAAGTTTTCCATAGAGGCACTCATGTTGCCATTGGGTTTACCACTCATCTGCAATATCCTGTACAGCTTCTTTTCTTGTGCACCCGTCGGGCTGTTGGTGGCGATCTCGAGTCCAGTGCCCGGCTTGTATACCCTCTGAATGACTTGGCGTGGCATGTTTGGTCGAGGTCCACGCTGTACGTCAGGAACAACTGGACTGCGGGAAGCTGGAGCTGAAGCTTCTGCTGGCGGTCTAATTAGCGTAACCTTAGCCGCGCTCACCATACTGACCAGCTCCCTGACTAATCGAAGTTCCGGATCTGTAACGTGCTCAAATCCTGAAGGAGTGTTTATATTAAAGTGCTGCAGTTCTCTAGAGTTTGGGAAATCGGTGGCATCATCAAAGGTCTCCATCAGCGCTTGGAATACTTTTTTCTTAAAGTGCATCTTCTGGCGGGCGTTCATCTCCTGCATCTGGGGTTTAATCATTTCGAGAAAGTAATCATCGGAAAAGGCATCCTGGATTCCGGTTTGAGTGCTCTGCTCAGTATTTTTCAAATGGGACATACCCATGCCGCCCGACACGGATGATCCGGCGGTGGTGGTGGTGGTTATGGGTATGGTACATACCATCGTACCAGAGGCACTACTGGTGGCCTTGCCGCCGCTGCTGGTGGTAGACGAACTGGGACTGTAGCCCATCACGGTTATTTTTTCTGTGGTTTTGAGGCTGTTGCTGGTGGTACCTTTGGTAATGGTGCTGGGGCTAGTGGTGCTGCTGCTTACGGTAGTAACGATGTTGCTTTTGTTGGTGTTGCCGCCACCATTTGGGGCCGAGCTGGTGGGCTTGCTAACGGCCAAGACTTTGGTGTTTATGGGCGAATTCATCCCGGGTAGCTTCTTAGGCGGCCTACCAGCGGATCTTTTTGGTGGCGGAGCAGGAACCTGCGGGTTGGCGATCGTTGCATCGCTCTTTGGAAGGATCAGCGACTTCTGCTGCTGTTGGGTCTTGGGTTGGATTTGACTTTTATTCTCACTTCCAGCTGGCACCGCCGGTCTCGGGAAGATGTCATCCTGATGGCTCATTTTCCTGATCTGGACTGGTCCGGATGGCTGCTTGATGATCGGCTGCGATCTGGGGACCGGTGTCATTTTCACAGGCGATGTGGAGCTCCTTACACTTTGTACAACCGCCAAACTCATCGATTTCCTGCGCTGCAACCGCGTCATTCGCTGTGCATGGCCTGGTTTTTGAATCGGTAAATGCCTGATGCCAGCGGAACTTATTGATGCACGTGCGCGACGTAGACGTCGGCTTGGAGAAATGGTGTCGCTGCTTGTGGGGCGCTTTCCAACATCCCCACCATATTCATCGCCACTATCCTCCATAGCGTTTCCCAGGGGATCCCCGGTATTGGAGTCTAAGCCCTCGGGATCACCCAACGATGCCGTCGAGTTCTTTTTGCTAATGATTAGCAAATGAGGATCTTTGCTTTGCTTGACGAAGAACTCCGACTGACTAACAGGTGAGTCGCTGTTATCCTTCTCTAGACACTTCTTTTCCTGAATCGATTGTTCCAAGTCAAAATCGAAACTGTCGAGATCCTCCAGGTGCTCCTCGTCTACGCAATCGTCACCTTCATTGTCCGACTGCAAAAAACTATCGTGTTCCGGAACTTTCTCTGGTTCGTCCGATTCCTCAGATTCCTCCAGTTCTTCTTCAGCAGTTTTCTTCCTGGCTCGCTGCTTCTCTTGGTGATTTTCCAGAATATCTCTCTTTTCTTGTGGCGATTTTTCTTTGCGAACTTGACCCGCTGGCTTGGCCTCCTTAACGAACTTGCTTGTCGATGCTGCGCGTTCTTTTGATGATGCCTGGGGAAGATGATCCCTACTCTCGCTGTCCCTATTGCTATCCCTGTCCTTGTCCGATGATACGCTGAGGTCGTCCTCGACCGCATTGTCGTCGGCCAGGTTTAGATGGCGGTCCAAAAAGCGCAGCTCGTCGGCCAGCGGATAAGCCAATCGACGCTGACCATTTCGGCGACGGTTGGCGTCGGAGTTGCACCAGCGGGTATAGTCATTTCGCAACTGACGCCAGCGTCGCTTGCACTTTTCCACTGCAATAGAGATAGAGATGGAGATGTTAGGTAAGAAATACTAGGTAATGTAGATCAGGCAACAGGTAGCGGTCCAACCTATGACATCTGGCACAAGATCCCATCCTAATCTCAAATCATAAACATATCAGATAAGCAGGTAATAAGAGCGGAAACATTTTCATTGACAATAGGCAGAAACATTTGTTAAAACCAACATGCATCCATCGGTTCTTAAAAGCACGTTGCGCATAGAAGTATGCTATGTTTGGATATTTAAACACTAAGTATCAGCTGGCGATCTTTAATGCCCTAATGCCATATGCTGCAATTCCAGAATTCATTGCAACTCAAACACATCAAACCCGCACCACTGACCCCGCAACCGAGACCAGTTTTCTGGCAATACATTAAACATTCGGTTTTAATTTAATCAAAATCGGACGACTGCCATACATACATATATAATCAATACGAACAATTTTTGGCCTGTTTGTAGGATATTGTGTTGAGCGTGGATAGAAATTGGCAAGACAATTAATACAAAAAAAATATATAAGTATTTTTCAAAAGTGTAACAGTTTTGGAAGGTTTGTGGGAGTTAGACATTAGACGTTACAACATTTGGAAACAAACTTCTCTGGCACCTGCAATCTCAAACTCATTTCTAGCTTTTATAGTTCCTGAGATCTCGACGTTCATACGGGCAGACATGGCCAGATCGATTAGGCTTGTGAGCCTGATGAATAATATATTAATATATATTATAACATTTTATTATTAATATATTATTTTTAATTTATTATTATTTATAAATTTTTTTTAATAGATTATTATTAATAATTATTGTTATGGTCGGAAACGCTTCTTTCTGTTACATAATTTTAAAACGAATATATACCCTTTTACTGTACGAGTAACGGTTATGAAAAGGAGGACCATCTATCTAACCAACCCTAGCCACTATGGGAAATGTACCCACTTTTTCTGGCCAAAAGCCATTTCCTGAAAGTCGGAATATTAATATAATATTAAGTGTATGCATTCATAACAGATTCATAACAGAACTAGTGTACCAATTAGAATTAACATACCAGAAATTGAAATAGGTGGCGCAACAACAAAGAAATCAGCTGTTAGACCAGCTGTGGCGCGTATAAAAGACAACTGCCTGCAACGTAAGTTTTTATTCTTATCTTTGGAACCAAAGCGTTAATTCACATTCTGTAAAAAGCATTTTAATCAATGTGACTTGCATTTGCGACTTGTATTCGTATTTGTGACTTGTATCTGTGTTAGTGACCGTCAATAGCAACAGCTGAACTTGTACAATTTTTATTATTATTGTTGTTAACTTGTGTAAAATAGTTTAATATATCACTATCACGAAATCGGTTGTTTTGCTTAGATCAGAAAAAGCATGCGAAACTAGAGAAAACCTATACGAAAATAAGTTAATTAAATATAAGGGGCGGTGGCACGGCCACAATTTTTGGTATCAAAATATATAGGCAAGGGTAACCCAAAACAAGAAGACAAACAAAATATCTCCCTCTGTTCTGGAGATATTCAGTTTGGGCAGAAAACATGGTCAAAGTACACATCATATGTAGCTCGTCGGAACGCCTAGATTTCGATACCTATGAATGCACATATGTATTTATGTACATATGTATGTATAAGAAGGCATCCAACTCTAACGCCCTGTAGAGACATTGTAGGCACTCATTCTGTTAAAACTTATACCGAAACACCTAATTACTTAAATAATAATTTGGTAAAAATGTCGTGCGAAGTTTAGCGAAAGTTTTCACAAACGTGACAAATACAAATAGCCACATTGTCAATCACACACACATACATACAATATAATAAAAATAAATAAATAAATCTTACAGGAGTCAGTGTTAAATAAAAATTGGTTCATTATTGGCGATATTATTTAGTTTTGTAATATACTAATAGAAAACTTATGTTGTGCGGCTTCCGAAGTTTGGCCAAAAGAACTTTCCAAAAAAAAGAATCAGGGTCAATCGAAATGCACCGATAACATAATCAGAGTTGCATGTAATTAATCAAACTACCCACTCATAATATACCAATATATATACCAATTAGGTAATGTTGAATTTTACTCAGCTAATTGTCGAACGAAGTTACCAGTTTGTCAAAACGTAATTTTATATAAACCTAATTTTAAATGTAATTTTACTGTAATAAATATTTTAAGTTATAAAAATAATATAATAAAGCGTAGGTCGAAATTAATAATAAGCAAAGAAACTGCCACATTTCAAATTCCATCCAAATGACTGTATTACATTATTTTTTATGTGATCATTCTTTAATTAGGCCAAAAAGTGTGTTACCGAATTTATATTTTTAAAATCATATTAAATTAAATGCAATATTAAGTTGTTTTTACATCCTAATTTAATAATGCAACATTAATATTACATATGCAGCACCAACTGATTGGCTCTTTAAAAATCTTTGGATAACTAAAAGCAATTCAAATTCGGTTTAGCGAATAATTCACCCTAAAAGTCTTCGCATTCAACAGGAGATTCGTTATTTTCAAATTAATCCATGGCAGCTGCTATGAGACTGCCGACACTGCGCTGCCAACTCGTACACAACTATCGATGGTCGATAAACCGGAGACGGCCGATTGTTGTGCGCGCGTTGACGCTGTGCAACACTGGCCGAAAACTACGCAACGCCGATTGCCATCCCACTCGCACCCACAACTCACCCGACTCTCCAACTTCGGAGGCCACCATGTCCCAGGAGTTCTCACTCGGCAGGCGCTTCCTATAGTTTTCGTCGGTGCGATCGTAAAGCGGCGGCTGCTTCTCCACCGCCCGCAGCAACAGCAGATTCCCCTCACTGGCATTGCTCATCACTAGTTCACTTTGCACTTATCCAATCGAAACAGTTCGCTCCGCCAGGAATCTATCGTTTTCGTGTGGCAGCCAGAAATACTACAAACGCATACGCAATTCACACAATCACAACACACGCGCTCAGCAGCTGAGAGGAAAAATTCATACTGGCAAACGCAACGAAAACTAAAAGCGAGTGTTGAGCACACACACAGCCAACTGAGAGCGGAGAGCAGAGAGCGACACCTTGTCGCTTGGAAAAGCGAGTTGGCAGGCCGAAGGCTCGTTGACGAGGGTTGAGCAAGGTTGGCTCGGAATTAATTTATTTTTTACCTGACGGGCTAGGCTGTTAATAATTTTTAGATTTCTAAATTATGTTTTTCAATGCATTGCTCAGAAATCTCAGACCGTTCAAACTTATTTTCCAGTTTCTTTTGAATTTACATTTCTGTTTAAAATAACTGAACGCCAACTTAATTTCCATACTTTTACTAAAAACTTACATTAATAAAAAATAAATCCTAATTTTCTTGAGTGTAAGTCGCAATTATATTATTCAGGGCTGGACCAGCCATTATATAGTTGTAAAACTGCGTTGGCAGCTCGGCCACCGATCGAACGGCCCTGCCAACACTAACTGCTGTACTTATGCCTTGAGTCTGGCAGTGCTATCACTTTTAAAGTAGTGTGTGTGAGATCCAGGGGCAGCTCAATAACTTGCGCTCTCTGAGAGGGTTTGCATGTTCTGCGAATAGCGCCCCAGCCGATTTGAAGAAGAGAGCGCACTACGCCTCTGTCTTTCAGTTTGTTGTGCCCTTCTTTTTATTTATTTCGCCGGCCAACGAGTGTTTTGTTTACATATATTCAACTCCCGTTACCGATTCAAATGCTCAGAGATAATCAAATCGAGTCAGTCAAGTGCTCCTGTGCTTTAGAATCAAGCCCAACTGCCATTTAAAACTGGAGCATTTATTTGCAACTTCATCACTTGTTGGCAGCAACACCAACACCAGCGGGTTCCCAGTTGCAAAACAACAGCGGCAGCAGCAACTTCCGCGTGCACGGCAGCAACAGGCGGCTTAAATCACAGTTCAATAAGCGAAAACTAGTGATTAAAGCACTGGCATAGATTAATTGGAGCATATTTAAACACAATTCAGGTAAGTTAAAAGGAAAGAAGATCTGGTTTCCGAGAAAATAACTGTTGTTGCAGGCAGAACAGCGACGCAAAGTCGCGGCAAACAGCTGTTGCACGTACAGGCGACACATGTTTCGGTTTCGAACTCTGTTCTTCTACGTTTGCTCTATTAATTAAAATTTGCATATTTAGTCTTTATCGATAAAATGAATACTCGGCGGCGGTCTATAGCTCCATCACCAAACGTCTACGCCATCAATTCCAAAATCTGCCATTTGGTGAAACAACATCCTTGTCTTTACGATCGCCACGATGACGACTACTTGCGGAAATCGACTGTGAAAAATGCCTGGAAGGAAATATCCAATGAGATGCGAAATTCGGGTGGGTAATAATCAACCAATTCAATCTCCATTTAGGCAATTGCATAATCGCAATTTAATAACAATTCAATCTCTATTTAGACAAGCACAACTTAATAACAATTTAATCTCTATTTTGACAATGATTATGTATAGTTGTGCATACTTGAAATATGTATTCCAATATTACAAGCAACATTAAGTAATGTTATTTTAATCTTTAAACTTACATTTCATAAGAAAAGTTTTTTATATTTTTAAAAGCGCCGAAGATACTATGTATGATAATACTAACAAATTACTTAAATTCTTACACATTTGTCAAGTTCTGCTCTATTTACTACTATTAATCATTTCAGTTAAAAGCTGCAAGGAGCGTTGGCGCAACATTCGCTCCAGCTACGCCCGCTCTATTAAGATGCACCACGGTGCGAATACGTACTACCTAAACAGCGAGCTGCAGTTCCTGCAAAGCCACATCACCCCCGGAGTTCCCGTTCCGCTCAGAGGTCGTCGGTCAAGACCCAGGGGTCAGAAGGAGCTCGACGAAGGGGAGCTCGAAACTCCCGTTGAGGCAGTCCTCGAGATGGTGCACTCCCCGAGCTGTCTGGACTCGGAGCATGCGCAGAGCCGTCACAGCACCGATTCGGAATCGGCGAAGGAGTCGGATTTAGACAAGGACTCCTGGTCAGGACGTGTCAAAAAACGTCTGCCTTCGGAAGTTAAGGTGGGAGCAAAACTCAGATGCATTTTGCTTAGGCTGTAAATGATTACAACCTGATCCAACATTGTTAATTATACTTAAAACTTGATTAATGTTCACATATCAAGTGTAACATTTTAAGAAAAAATCATTTAACGTTAAAGAGGGCTGCAATTTATCTTTTTGCAAATTAGCTTAGAGCTTACAGCACTTTTATTTATAAATATGAATATAATAGCGCACTATATTCTGTGTTGTATACTTATTGACATGCTCCCATTGCCAGTCCGTTAATTCTTAAAGCTGCAATTTAATTCTTTTAATTTTAATGATGCATTTCATTTCCTTCTTCAGACATCCAACTGCAATATTGAAGCATCATCAACCATGGATTTCGAGGACACAGTCCCTGCAGAAATGCGCACAGAGAGCGAGAGCAGAGAAGAGGCCAAGGTGGGAGCAATTATCAGCTGTATAATACTTAGGCTTTACATTATTGCAACAACCGTATTCGGTATTACAAACTTTATAAATTACAAATATGTATCCGTACCCAAAGGTTTTAAGAGAAGCCGTTTAATTGTGTTCCCTTTTGGATACAATTTTTTTATAATATAACAACTTGTACTTCATTTATACTTCAGTACTAACAATTTAGGCGAAATTTAATTTGTACTGCATTATTTATGATTTGATATTTTCTCAATGCAGGCATCAAGCCACAATATTGAAGCATTGCCAGTCATGGATTTCGATGACGCATTCCTGCAGGGACTGCGTCCCGAAATCAAGCACATGAACTTCCACCAGAAGCTGTACTTCAAGCGCCGTGTGTACGACCTCCTTGGCGAGATATTCCATTCCGAGGAGTCCGCCACATCAACCCACCCAGCACAGCCGCATCCCAAGCTGAAGGTAAATGGAACGCTATCCACAGCCTCATCATCTCCCTCCCCGGGGAATCCTCTGCAGCACTTGGGACTGATGCTGCAGCTGCCCAAGCGGGTGGCCAAAGCCAAAAAATTGTAGCATCCGACCTGCTTATTGCAAAGTTTCAATCGACTGATATTGAATTTGTGTACAGTACATAGGACAAATAGTATCTTGCGTTATTTTTAGACATGTTACCATAATGTATAAGCAATCTAATGTGAAGTTGACATGAAAATAAATAAATACATTTTTTAAATTAAACTTAGTCTACATATTTGTGTGCTGGGAATAAATACAAGCCATACAAATTAAAAAAGTTACATTGATGACTCGTAAGGTTATTTTCATATATGTTGTATGTTTATTTTTAGCAAATACTTTTGTATACGTAAACATTGTTTTTGTTGTTCTTTAAATAAAATAATAATTATTAAAATAATATACATGTATAACGTTCCCGTATAATTTATGGCATAAAATATAATTGTTTTTTTTTCGTATGTTTTGTTGAATAATAAGATGTGTATAAGGAAACAGCGCTGCCCGATTGACGGCTTCAATTTGTTTTAAAGTTTAAATACGTAAATTAGTCTCGATTAGTAATATGTACAATCATCGATCAGTTAAAGGTATGTAAATAGGGCATCAAAGAGTTGTAAGGTTTAAACAATTGCACTTTAAATTAAATATCTATAAAATTAGGCATACAATTAAAGGTTCGTTTAAATGCAAAACAAATCGCTCGCAGCATTGATCCATCAAATTGGCAAGACCCCCAGGTTAGACCGGTAAAGGGGTAACCAAGCTAATTGGCTTAAATCTAACAAAATTGTGGCGCATTCTTCCCCATCGTTGGCGTTCCATTTCAACCATCCTTCCTAGGCGAAACAAATCTTGACCGGTCCCAGCGGCAGTTGCTTCATATAGTTCCAGGCATCCACACGCGTCATCCGCGACGTGGAGGCACCATTGATGCTAAGGATTTCGTCGCCATTGCGCACCTGGTTGGTCTTCTGGGCGGCACCACCTGGTTAAGATACAGAACCTTCATTAATAATCGCTTTTAGTGAAGGATGACAAATTGACCTTACCCATGAACACCTTTTTGACAATCAGGGGACGATTTCCCAGCGGCGAATCAAAGCCTCCTTCGATGGAGAAACCCAGACCACAGCTGTCCTTGACAATCTCCACACAACGAGCACCTCCTCCACTGGCCGCCGCATCCTCCGCTGTAATGACACGGGACTCATTAAAATAATTTATGAACAGTGGACTTTTAGATGTAAGCAAACAGGGACAGGAGTACAACAAATTTATGAACAAGTTTTGGGCAAGTATGTCATTTTTTTAATAAAACAAATAAATTTTACAATTGATGAATATGTATATAAGAATTATCCGAGCATTTTCAACAAATAATACATATTTTGATTAATTTTAATTATTGGTGCTGATATTATTGGATATTATGAAAAAAACAATGTCGAGAATTCGTTTAACACTTATGTTATTCTTAACATTTTTTAATAATTTTTTTTTTGTTCATCTAAAAAGCTAACTCACCCTGTGCACGAATCTCCGCTGCAATGGCATTCCTGGCCTCTGCCGCCCGTTCCAAGAGCTCACTCGTGCTGAGCTTGGCGGCATCTCCGCGGGACAACTGCCTCCTGGCGCGGATACCCGCGATGGTGGCCTCCGCATCCTCGTCGTGCAAGCTCGCTGGCTGAGGTGGACTTACGGATCCGGTGCTGGGTGTGGTAGCCACTGGCGCTTCGCCAGCTTCATTGGACACCAGATCGAGATCCAAGTCCAGAGATCGGGAGGCCTTGTGGTAGTTTCGCTTGCGTTCATAGTCCAGTTCCGTGGGCTTCTCATTAAGCGAGCTCAGTGATCCCAGGGAGGATCGTTTCTTGGTCAGCGCCTTCACCACCAGCGACTCGGATCGGGTCACCACTAGGACTACCTCAGGTCGTGGGGTCTGTTGAAAATAAATGAATTTATTAATCAATTTGATATATTACAGATCAATTTCACTAATGCCCTTTTGTAAGCAAACATTTAAATACCTTTAGCACACTAATGGACTCGCGGTGCGTCAATCCGCGCATGCTCATTCCGTTGACGGCGAGGATTCGATCACCCTTCTTCAGACGTCCATCCTTGGCAGCTGGCGTGTTGCTCAGGATCTTGTGGATCTGATGGGTATTAAAACAACTTATATTAGGAACAGGCGTAGATGTGAGAAAAACGTGTGTTAACGCACCGTGATTTCCTTAGCCTCGTAATCAGAACCGCCGGCGAGAGTGATTCCGATGCTGCTCTCGGGATTATCCCTCTGCAGGACAATGATGAACGCCTCTGGAGTCTTTAGTGGAGGATCGGCCTCCTCGACGATCTGCTGGACATCCTGGGCGGTGATCAAACTCTGGTTGCTGCCCAGCGAGGAAAAGCTGCCGAATTCGGTGGCCGTCTCCTGGGTGGTGCTCACGTTTTGGGTGGTCGAACTAACGCCCGAGGAACTGGACGCCAGGGAGTCCAGCGAGGAGAATCGCTCATGATGTGGCTTCTGGGTGACCTTATGGATTATAGGCGAGTGGTTTTGGGTTTGAGCTTGGGCTTGGGCTGCAGCACTCCTTTCGAACTTTTCGCGCAGTTCGGCGGTGGTTTGTTGCTTAAGAGGTTCCCTCTTCGCGGATGGAAGCATCATTGGGAGGACCATGGGCTTGACCTGCTCCACTTTGACCTTAGCCTGCTGGTTGGGATCTCCTTTGAAGCTGGCCTTGCGCTCCTCGTCTATGAACATGGCACTGATCTTGGCAGGCGTATCAGATCTCCGGCTGCTGTCGTCCGTATCCGAGGTTAGTTCCACATAGGCGGCCACATTGATCAGCTTGTCCACCACCAGTTGCTTGCCCAGTTGGATCTGTTGCTGCTGGAGCTTATAGCTGGAAATGGGTTTAATTCTACGATTGGCCAGGGAACAGGCTTCTCCATCGGTGCTGTCGTTGTCCTCCTCTTGGCCACGACTCTTGGCACTGCGGCACTTGGCCGAGGCCAGAATACTTTTGCGACTGGAAAGCGGACCGGCTTCGCCATTGATCACCTGGCTCTTGAGAACCCGCCTGGTTAGGTCCAACGCTGGTGTGCTGCCTAGGGAACTGCAACTGGCTTGAGATCCGGCAGAAGATCCTGATGTTAGAGTAGAGGTGTTGGAACTAGCTATCGAAGTGTTTGTTTCGGAACTGAGGGTTCTGGTCAGTGCAAACTTCTCCGGTGGAGTGGCCACCCTGGCCGTGTGCGAGAACACCGAATCCGTATCACTTTCCTGATCTAAGGGAGGTGGTGGTGGCGGCATCATCATGCTTCTCGGCTGGAGTGGTGTCAGCGATGTCCTGGGTGGCTTGGCTGGTGGTTGGGAGAGCTGTTGTTCCAGCGGTCTTCTTTGATTGGTGGTGAAAATGCTGCGATAGTTACTGGCGGCTCCTCCTGCGCCCAATTGGTTATTCCTATTGACCGTACTGCGGTGACTTTCGCCCAAGCCGCTATCCGTACTATCTTCTCCGCTGGCTGCTTTCACCTGGCTCTTGATCTCCGGCAAATCCAGGATGGGTTCCAGCAGCTGGGGTCTCTCTGGGATGACCAGTCCTCGCAGTTTCGACAAACTCCTCCTTCTTTGCTCCAGGATATTTGTAATGGCTGCCTTTCGGTTGGCCGCATCTCCACCTTCGCCCGAGAAACTGATCCTTCTCTCCACTCCCGAGGAATACGATCCCCCGTGGCTCCTCCTCGGCAAAGAGGCGTAGCTCGGTGTGGGCGTGGCTGTGTTCAGGGAATACATTGAGTCGGCCACGTGCAGCTGGGGCAGCTGTTTGGCCAACTGATATTGCCGCTGCACATCATTCAGATTTTCCACGCTCATCGCGCGAGTTTTCAGCGAAGGAGCCGAGGATGCCGAGCAACTGTCCAGAAGATTTTCACTGCTCCTGTTCAAGGGCTTCCGGGAGAAGGAGCTTGAAATTGGGGCTGTAGCCGGAGCTGGCGGAATGGCATCCAGTTCGTTGTTGGACGAGAACATGGCAATCTTGTCGCGCACCGACTTCTCCGACTTTTCATCCTTGCGCCAATCGCTGGGCTTGCGGGGAGTACCACCACTCAGGGATCTCTGATAGTCCCTGGTTAAACTGGGTGCTGGCTCTACGTTTATGACCAAATCCTGGCGATATACTTTCCTGGGAACTGTGCCTGGTGGTCCCGTTTTGGGAAGTGGTGGTGCAGAGGTCTCATCCTTTCCGCCATTCTGTAACTCGTAACTCAACTCGGTGGTGACCTTCAGTGGGTGGCTGTGCATGATCAGTGGTTCGCTGAAGTTGGGTGGAAATTCATGACCATCGGGCGGCAGGCGGGAATAGGTGGGTGGTGAGGCGTAGCTGAGGTAATCCTGCACCAGCAGCTGTTTCGTGGTGGTTGCCTGATGCAGGTGGTGCGTTGCTGTCGTCGTTGTCGTTGTTGTTGCTGTGTTGCTGCTCAGCAGCTCCATTTTGCCGGGGATCAGGGGTGCAGCAGGTGCCGTGGTTGCCGCCTCAGTGGTTGTCTTCTTAATGCTGCTGCTGCTGATTAAAGTTGCTGCCGGGATGTTGCTACTGGCGCTGATGCCGCTGATTCCGCTGATGTTGCTTATGTTGCTGTGGTGGTTACTGAGGGTACCCAGATCTGCAAGAGGATTGGGGAGAGAGAGCGGGAAAGGTTCTGGTTAGTCAAACACAAAACACGGGGAAGTAAACAAGTGGACTTCATACAAAGGAAGGTTCCACGCGTGGTATACAACAATTTAAAGTAACCTTCCGAATGAAATATGTTAAGTGAGTAAAGTACGAATTCCAAAAAAAAGTTTTATATTTAAACAATAAAATATTATATTTTTAAAGTTAATTTCAAATAAAAATCGGAATAGGTTCTTTAAAAATAAATCGATTGAAAGTTATGCTTAGTTAATCAATGGGTTATGAACTATTTGCAGCTAGATTAGATGAAAGTATGTAATTCAGTTATTTAAGAAACAAAAGTTAGCAGCATAATGGGTCTATGCAAATATCCTACACTTGTGCCAACTATAGGTAATAGGAATTAGAGTAGTGAGCTGTTGGATAATCGAAGAAAGGAAAAACGCAGAAAAGGTAAATATATTAAAAAACTTTTCAAAAGGTCACTTCCAGCAAAGACAAAAATCATTTAGATAATAGTCAATTAGTTGTCGGGGGAGGGCTCTGTTACAAAACTCAAATAATTATACATCCATCCATCCCAGCCAGCGAAACTTTCGCTTCCAGCAAACCCCCAAATAGTTGTCATTATGCGCTAACCGGAGACGAAAAACAAAAGCGAATCTTACGGATGCGATCCCAGCAATTAAAAACCGCAACAATAACAAGAAAAATTGGTTAAACGCTGCGGTTGACAGAAGCGTTTCTAAAAATCGCACAAAACGAGTAGAAAGAGAAGGTTCAAACAGACGGAGACAAAGATTTAGGCAACCAAATTCAAATTATATGCGAAGAAAACAAAACTTAGAAGACAAAAACAAAAGGTTTTTCCAAAAAGCGAAAGTCGCCAAAAGAATGGTAGCCATTCCCTCAAGCGAAGAGTTGACAAAAACCTTAAAACACAAAATTAGCCAAACTTTGCTGCCTTATTTTTCGCATGTTTTTCTAGGTCACTCGGGGGTGTTTCGATGGCTAATTTCTATTAAAATAATTTATGGCTTACTTAGAAAAAGTTTCTAATGACAGCATTTAGCTTTGATTTGTTTTATGGCAGTAAATCTAAATGGAATTCGTCATAAATGGCAATACGGGCAGGCTGCTGAGGATTTGTTTTTTGGACTTGTAACAATTTGCATAATTAATTGAAGAAAAAATGTAAAAACAAAACGAGGCTAAATTTCATTAAAATGGAAAACGCTGCGTGGATTTTTTTCCATTTTATCTCTTACTCTTTCTGCCTTTTGGCCACACACACAAAATGTTAATGAACTTTAGCAAATGTAAAGTTCGCAAAAAATAAAAAGAGAAGAGTAGCAAAAAATTAAAAAACAGAAGAATTGTTTAATGAAAAGAAAGGCAGGAAAAAATCATGTTTGCATGTGCCGAAGCCAAAAAAATGGTTATGGCTGAAAAAATACAAGCTGAAGAAGTGCGTGAAAAATTGCAAAATGTAAAGTCAAGGGCCTACGAAAGAACTTTGACCTTGGCCATGAGAGGAAGATTGAGATTATCTGTGAAGGTGGAGGAATTCGTCATGATTATTTTCCATATAACGCATGGTATCGTTTTTTAAGTGCTTCTATGTCCACGATAACTTTAAGTTTGCATACTAGTTTTAATAGATTGGTTATGTTCAAGTTTCAGACTCTTGTGTAATTTCTCTGACGTACTTTAACTTTTCCTGTTGCCCAGTTTTCACAAGACTGCCGGTTGCCAAAAAATAAATATTAACTCATCGAACTGTTTGCCCAATGAGCCACACGACGCCGTATCCCCCAACTGAGTCAGACAACTAAACTACGTCATTCGATGACGGAACTTCAACCCATCCAACGCACCTGTATTATATCACCCAATTACATATATATCCCATTGAATTCAGCTACCAACAATAAAATGATAAACTATTCGAGCACCCGAAAAATAATTGTAAGTATTTACCGATCCAATCTTCCCGTAAAAACAATTAATAGCTGTTACCACAGGCTTAATTAATCAAATTAGGTAAGAAAATATCCGAGTCTCGCATTTTTGAACTATGATGCCAAGCGATTAATCTTCGCCTAGCAAGTGTAACATGAGTGGAGTGTTTGGTATTTATGGGTATTTGAATATTCGAAAACTCGTTGCTTATCGAGTGCTAATCGAATCAACTCGGTGCCGGAGTTAAAGTTCAAACTTTGGCATATTTTCGTGTTTTTATTTGCAAAATTGTTCGGCCATTAAGAAAAACGATTCTAAATAAGATTTCACAATTTACTGTTATTTATTTCCTCTCTTTCCGAGATCTTTAATTTTATTTCACATTAGCACCCGCTGGGAAATGATCTGTTCGGGTCTGGGAGTTGGATTTAATTGTAATTTTCAGGGGGTCTCCAAAATCCACGGGGATTCTGAGCCAGCAAGTCTGTGTGAAAGGTTGCTGATACGGTATTCTTATAATGAGTGTTGCCAATTTTAGATTGAGAGTTCAAATAAGTGAAAGAGGAGATCGTGTGGAAAGGTAATTTCATAATGAGTTCCTGTCGGGGAAGTTCCATTCGAACTGCAGTTCGCTGTACAGATTTAATCATTTGCTTATACTAACTTGGGGTTCTTTTACTCTTCAACTGCACCTTTTTTTTAATAATCAAGAGTGCTTAGCTGAAATCATTCAATAACTTCCTTTAGTCCACATTTCCCATCTACTGATGGAGCTGGAAGCTTCACTCTTCACTACGATTCTTTGGTCTTTCATAAATACTCCACTGCACTAGCGTGCTAAAAAATCATTTAGTTCTCGGTACTTAACAATTTCAGTTCGACTTCTTCGGCATCTTTGGTTCTTGCCCCCTTCAATTCACCTGGTCTTTCATCAAAGTTGTCTCGAGCATTTCCGTGCCACAAAACATGCCAAAGTGTCGTCTTTAATTAGAAGTGAAACCGAAGAAAATAGAAGAGTGGCAAATGCAGAAATGGAAGACAAAGCAGCTGAAGAAGAAGCCGCCAGCCAATGTCAAGTTCTTTGGAAAAGCGCGCAGTGGCATAACTGCACTTTTCCTATAATAACTTCCGCTATGCGAGAGGCTCCCAGAGCGCCACCTACAGTTGATAATTATAAATGGCCTTTTCCCGGTCGAAACATTTTCCCACAGAACCGATGAAAATCCTGTAACAAATTGCTCGCATTTAGCGAACAAAATGCTGCCTTCTTTGGGATCGCTCTTCTTGTTTTTTTTCCACATTTTTCTTTGCCCTTTTTTTTTTTAGTTACGGTGGGAAAAATCTGAGCTTTGCGATGTGGCTGGTAGCTAAATAATTGAAATTAATATTTTCTGTTGAACTTTTATGCTTTTCAGCAAATTTCTTTAAAATGAAAACAGTTTATCGCGTTTTGCCCTTTTGTTTCGCACCGCCGTCGGTCTTCTTTTGACGTTCCAAATTGACGGGAGCCAAGAGGGGTTAAAAAATGCGTAGATTGGTAGCCCGCAGAATTTTATCCTCTCGGTCTCCATTCTCTATCTGGTTCCTCTACTTCTTCCGATCCCCATCGCAATTTTCTGAAGTGGTGAAAAGAAAAAATTGTATTTCCCAACTAGCGAGCTCCGCATATTTCATTTTAATTATTTTATTAAAGTCTCTCGGGCGAAATGTGCAATTATTTAAAGTGTGCTCGATGCTGAAATGACGGATTGACGGCTGGCCTAAGGTGGTTATTATGATCTAATGCCATTTAATGATCACTATCCACTGCAATCCGTTTGCATAATCATAATCTCCACCAGCTGACTACTGACTACTGACGACTCGGCTTGGCTGGTGTGTGTGTGCCAAAAATAAACTTCAAGTTTGCCTGGGATTCTTATGTGTATCTTTCCCATCTTCGCGTATATTATACCTGTGCCCTCCATCTCGTCACATCTGGTTCTCAAAATTGTTTTGCCATAAGAGCAGCACCAACGGCAACAAGGGTTAAGAGGAATGCGGAGTGGCAACAGCTGCTCTGGCTGTAACCAGTTAGAACGGCGGTGGTATACGGTTTATTATGCGTAAAATGGATAAGGGTAAAACCAGGACGCAGGATATGGTCGACTGAACGTGTGCCCAACTTTCAAGTCTTCATTAGGGAGGAGAAATGGAGAAATGCTTTCGACATGTAACGACTCACTCATAATGAGAGATTCCAGAAAACTAGGGAAATCAGCAATCACTTGAAACAACTAAATAAAAGTTTTTGCTATCAAGAACTTGCTTCTACCGAATCTGAAAAGGCCATTTTTATATTATAAGAATACGAAATATTTTAATATTCTATTACAACTGTTATTTATTTATCATTTACTCACAACCAAAAATAATGAATTTAGTGAAATTAAAAATTCAAGAATGTTGGTTATTATTACTGTCTGTGTAGTCCTGACTACCCGTGCACCCCACAAATACCTTCGTCATCTGGTTGTAGGGCACGTTAAGTAATGCGCAAGCCATTTCTTTATTAAATAAAGACCAACAGCATGTGCACGATGGCCAAGAAGAAGCAGCAGTCAGAAACCGCTGCTCAAGTCCCGGTCCAAGCCCCTCTATCTCCTCTTTCCTTCCCCTTAACCCCTAGTTGCCCCTTCCCCGCCCTTTTCACACCTTGCTGCCGTTTTGCATTTAATGTGTCATGGTACGATGCAGTTGCTGCTGCTGTTGCATATGTTGCTGCTGTTGCTGCTGTTGCTGCTGTTGCATATGTTGCAGTTGCAACTTGCAGCTTATGCTGCTGTTGTCGTTATGTGGCAAGCGCCAAGTGTTGCAAACAATGAGAGAGAGTGGGAGAGAGCGAGCTGGAAAAACTACTTCGATGCCGCGGAGGAAAATGTGTGTTGCCAAGAAAAATGTGCGCTTAAATTGCAGCTGGTAGGATGGGGAGGGGACAGGTGGCAGAGGGAAATGAAGTGTGTGCCGTTGCATAAATATCGAGCTAAA